CAGAAGAGAGAGAGAGATATATGCCCTCAAAACAATTTTGGCAAGCGGTTTCATTCATTACTGTACGATCCCCACGGAGGTAAAAAAAGAAAAAAATAGAAAAGAAAAGTAGCTAATAGGGTTGAATAATTTGGGTCATTTCAAATATTGGCCGGCTGAAATGGACAGTAGATCGATCATTCTTCTATAGTTTTCTGAAAACGTCAATACGTTGTTGTCAGTAGCATGGCAGGAACATTTGTCTCATGATATATGATTATTAGCACGTAGGTTTAGGTTGAGCAATAATTATCCGCCGTTTTTTCAGGCTCATGGTTCTTTGATTTTTGCTGATTATTTTCAAAGGTTATGATGTAGTCTGAAAGCGCTCAATCTCTTGTACATTTTGATGTACAACACTTGTGTATTTACTTCACTATGGAGCTTACACACTAGCAAAAAAGATTGCCCCTGCTACATGAGTGCAAGTTGAGCTCGAAACCGAATGCTTCTGCATCTGCTCGTAGAATCAATGAAGCCTGGGATGAAGGCACGGTTGCAGAGAGGACTGTTCGAGAGCGTTTGTTGATTACGCATTTATTGTTGTTTTTGTTTGGTTTTGTTAATAAACTTATGAGTGAAATGAAAACGGCGGATAATTATTGCTCAACCTAATATTTTTGAACCAGTAATTATATTGTCAGTTTTGTCTTTCTGAGAAAGAGCAAAGTGCATGGCGCATACGAGAATGATCTGCCGACCTTGAAAGATAAGAACCAAGTCGAATTTCAAGCAATCAGGTTTCCGAAGCCCACTCAAGCAAATTGAGGTGTGGCAGGTTTCCTAGAAGATCGCTGGTTCTGATAACGTCATCGGAAGAAAGAGCGAACTCGTTCTTCGAAAGCAAAGTTCGCTGGCTCGGCTAGAACACCATCAGAAGTTGTTTTGGGATACATATGGAGAAATGGCAAATACCATCAAATTACCTCAGCGATCACGGATCAGAGCCGAATTCATGGCGCATCCCATGAAAAACCTTTGAAGCCTATTCTTTTCGTACACTTCGCCTTCGTCTTCAGAAAAACCTCCTAAGAAGCTCGACATCATAAATTACCTATTTGTGATGCTACACTAGGCCAGCAGAGACAGGCCTATCGTCAGGCCTAGGTGTATGAGGTCTACAAAAGCGTTAGTCCCGCGCAGACTCAGGGTCTGCAGCTATTTCAGCAAGGATCACAGATGAGCTACACTTTTAGGAACACCCAACTCCTTTGTGAAAGCACGATTTTCACATGCGCAGCTATACCCGTGTCCTAATGCATCCGCAATAGGACCCCCATCCTCAACTGTACAACTTCCCTGTCTGCAATTCCCATCTCCTAGCAGTTGTTGGCATTGGAGTACCATTAGCGTTGCTGTTTACTTTCTATACGAACAAACCGACGGTAAGTAAGTAAACAAATAGTAAACTGTTGATATTATGTGCATGGCCGTGCGGCGTTGACCTGTCAACGGTGTCGTATCTGTGGGTGAATTAAGGCCTAAGCCTCATAGCGACGCCGCCATCGCTGCGGTCCAATTAAATGACCCGTGCAAATGGAAGGATAGAGGCTAATCACATGCACCCCACGTGCAGCACATGTGAACTGATAAGTATCTTTACTAGGTCTTTTATGATACCTGTAATGAAGTGATATCGTATCCAGAGGCATGCACAATTCTTCAGAGATAGTAGACTGAGGGACCCTGGGAAATCTCAAACCTTTTGGTTTCGACCGTAACCCTATGGCGGGTTACGGTAGAAACCACGGTTTTACTGTGGCCATGGAGAAGAAGGGCAAAGTCCATCCATGAATTTTAGTCAGAGAACATGGACAGGTTTATGGACAGGAATCCAGGTCCGAAGTACAGTTCCCACCAACGCCACCGTCCTTATCACTTTCCACTTTGACCCTAAGAAATTCGGGGGCTATGAAATTTGGGCGAGGGTTGGGTACTACGTCATGGGACGGAATTTCTGAAGATTTCTTCCTTTTTCAATGTCGAGTCCTCCAGAAGTGGTATTTTTGCAGAACAAAGATCCAAATGGGCAATGATCCGTGCTAAGCGGCCAGAAGGACTCATAGCCCCGAAAATTCTGCAGCTCAAGAAAGTTCCTACCGTAGCCCGAGAAATTTCAGCAATCGTGGTGGAACTTTTTTGGACCATGTTCACTCGAGCCTAGAATACCCGTGAGCTTCGAGCCGACGTTCCTGAAGGTCGCATGGGGAACGCACGGGAAAACCGGTTTTAGGGACTGGGTGCAAAGTAGAGCTAAACAAAGCAGCAAAGTAATCATGCAAAGCGCTGTAATCGCGATTTTCTCACGCTCTATGAACACGGAAGTTTTTTCCTACCGTAACCGGTCCTTCAGCTCTTCATCAGCAGGAACCTACCATCTAGAAACAATAAACATAGTGCTATCACTGTATGCAGCAAAAGTGTGTAACAAAGATCGTCCCTGAGCGGGTGCTCTGCGTTTCTGTCCACAGCGTTCTTTGGCACCACGAGACCCTGGCCGTCTGCGCCCCCGCCGGCGTTCGCCCTGCCCCGCCCCTCGCGGGTGGAGCGGATCTGCTATAAAAGCGCGACGCCTGCACCCAATCACTTCGCCCCGCTTTCTCACACGTGAATCCATTGTGTGAATTTAAGCTTGAGCTTTTACTGAACTGATTTGATCTACACTCCCGAGATCTACTCGAAATGCTCGAAGTCTCGACGAATTCCATGTGTTTCGACACAGTCGCATCAACGAGCCGGCCGAAAAATGAGGTGAATTTTTCGTTCCTTTTTTCGTAGTGTTTCGAATTTTTTTGATTGCCACACCCACAAGATCCCTTGATATCATTATCATCTTTGGGGACGCTTATAAGCTCCCAATTATCAACTGGCCCATTATTTTTGGCTGCCCATTTGGCAACGAACCAGTTCTCATTATCCTCATATTATTTTTATTCCATGATCAAATCAAGTGATCTGATCTCCAGGTCGGTAGGTAGATTGAGTGGACCCTCTGATCGATTATTCTCCGTGGCGTCCACCCGTTTCCCCGTCGACCATTCAAGGGGTCGTCTATCTGCTCGGACTTTCCAGATGTCCCTGGGTTGGGACTTATAGCTGGGTCAGTGGGCTAAATCTCTCAGGACTTTCCCATTTTGATAGCCCTTTGTCGATTCCTTTTTATAATTGCTGCTATCTGTTTTGTAGTTGTTTTGAATATCCCAGTGGCGATTTCCCTGTGATTCCCATGAGATCGCGATTTGCCATAAGCGTAAAATCGATACCCCATCTTTATCTTCATACATTTCTTATAGCTCTTTCCTGAAGTGCCTCTTTTCAGCTGGCCAGATCCGACATGACCCAGGTGGTCGCGTTGGCGGTGATAACCCGATTGCACGACTGGTGTGTGCAGCTCTTCTGGATCACGGTATTCTGTGTGATGGGCGTTTGCGGGGACGAAGAATCCCGGACGTCCATCTACCAGCTTCACGAAAAACAACAGCAACAACAATCGCTGACGCGGAAACGAACCAGCATAGCCGAGATTGAGATGAAGGTTCGTTGTTGTCGATTTTTTTCGATTTTCTCAAAAAGGACGGGGAAGGGGTGGAATCGATCCAGCAGCGCCTTTGCCCTGTTCTGCGTATTTGTTTTTTTGCGATAAAAGGCCGCTACGGATGGGCAACAACTGGTTAGCAGCAGCGCACGTGGTAGTCGTATGTGTATCAACTGGTTTCCTGCCAAGACACTTTGAGTTACTGTTACCACTACAGGAATGTGACAAGCGGCATCTCCTGGGTTGTTAATTTGGCCCAGGAATGCTGCAATCACCGTAATTTGGGCTAATTTAATTGGATTGTCAGTATCAGTTTCACTTCTGTAGACGGTACATTCTGTCATGCGATGCGGTCGCGTGCGCGTTTAGGCGGAGGTAGGGCCCGGCAAAGGTGGGGGCGTATTGTTCCGAATCTTGAATCCTCCCTGTTTGAATTTAAGCTCAGTGCGCTTTAAATGGGTCTGGCAAAAGGCCGTACGCTAGTCCCTTCGTCTCCTCTGTTGGATCTAGGTAGGGTAAGTCAACCAAAGCATTTTTTCCATTGGGATTCCGAGCATTTTTCCTAAGCACTTCTTCCTATTTACTGATTTTTTTTTCCTAATTATCCCATTTTCAGTTGCTCCGCCACATCACCTCGGCCATTGCTGACGACTCTCGACGTGACAAAGTCGTCGGAAAGAACGACTCGGCCCTCGTCGCCCGCCTCCATCCACAGTTATTTCTGATATTGAGAAGCGTCTTGAGGAACTGAATTTCTGACGACTAAATATGATGGTCGCCGACATGCCACTCAACCACCTTTGCTCCGGCGGTGATACGGTGTTGACCGCTGCGTCTTCTAGGTGCCATTTCTCTTCTCTCATGATTCGTGTTTGCCTTATGTAAAATACGTGTACGTGAACTCGTCTCCGCCCCCTTTTGGAGCCTCATCACGCTGATTTAATTTATAATTATCATTGCTGATTTTGCTCTTTAATTGTTGTGTAATATTTTTGTCTTGTCGATAAGCTGAACCATTCTATGAATGGTCGGCTAGAGAATTGAGCTCTCGTAGCTCTTCGAATAAACTTCTATCATCAAATTGTCGTCGAACATTCCGAGTTGAAGCAGAAGTGGCATGGTTTGGATAGGTATTGATTAGTTGGGTACTCAGCACTGTTACGATTTGTCAGTGTAATTTCGTGTGGAGTGATCTCACAAAATTCGCGCAGTGGTGCACATCACAAGTTATAAGATACTTTGAAGAGGATCTTCTTCTCTGCGCCATGCGTTCACTCTTGAGATAAAGCGCAGAAGTGGTTGGAAGGGTATGAGTGTTATGAGCTACGATTAGCCAGGTGAACCTCTTTACAGACAGCAAGGGTGCTATATCTTCCATTGAAAAGAACCTCGAGACTAATTCAAAAGAGTGGCGACGGTGCGTTGTACCTGCCCAGGTCTTCGCCTTGGATTGACTACTTTTTTGACACTGGGATTGGTTGATCCAAGCTGATGAAGATAAATTGATCTTTTCGTCTGGCGCTGGTTTTCTACATTGAAATTCACTTCCTTTGTTCGTAGGCTACTCGAACCAACAATGGGGGTAAGTATTCTACGAATTCGTCGGGTCTGATGAAAGTTAGTTTGCGCGGTAGAGCCAGTAAAAGCTGAGTCGTTGGCGAGAAACGCTATGAGACATCATTTCAGAGGTCACTGATTAGGCGAAAGAAGCGACAAGGCTGCTGACCCATTCCGTAAATGGAATTATGCTGATCAGCCCTTTCCTTGTCTAAAAATCGCAAAGACAAGCAGACTTTACAAGAAGATGTTCGGTGTAGGAGGATAAGAGAAGCTGCGTTGTTCAGGTAAAGATGGAGCGCCTTTCCCAGGCAGTACTCATATATTGGGCCCCCATAAACCAGGTTCCAGAGCTGCCCAACGCCAGAAAAAAATGACGCCCTGAAGCGAAGGTCAGTGATACATACGATCGCAGAATAGTCTCAAGTTAAGCCTGAAAGCTCAGTTTTGTGATCAGCTGCATTACTTTGCGTTGAGCGTGTGGAGGTGTTCCCAGTCAGTAGCCAATCGAAAGGCAAACGAAGCCACTGACTAATTCCACAAAAGGAATTTCGCTGACTGAGCATCTTCTTGTCTCCTAGCGTTGATAGGCGACGGTGGAACGGCCATTCCTTTCGATGACAAAATTCGCTGGTTGTCTGACTGATAACTTTCTGAGGGTTAACAAGGCTGCTACTGTGTGAGTAAGCGCTTTCGAAAACAATTTTTTTTGTACAGTAGTGGATTTCATACTCTGGAATTTCCAGAATGGCGTCGTGTGTAAACAAGCCATTCCCGGACAATGAGGGCTGTTGTAAGGTACACAAAGACCTTTGAAGGATCCTGTTGGGGCATATTGGGCGAGGTAGGGCTGCCCATAGCTCCCCAAGAGGAAGAGAGTGAATTTTATGAGAAATGGACGGCGACCCTTATACGTATCCTCAATTTCATTATCCTTATGTTCCACCCGTGGACCATTTCCAAGGCAGCCCGCTCTTTTGTTCCAACGATCGATCGTTTTTCCACGTTTCTTTTTCTACTGTTTTTCACTGTTACTTGTGAGCATTAAAATTGTTCTGAAGCGCCTCGCTAGTTCCCTGTGCTTTTCTACGCAGATAATTTCGGTCTCACTGAGAAAAGCTCACCCGTTTTACCACACTTTATTGAGCCGTCAAGTGACTGCTGGCGTGCTACTCGTGTCACGTGATGAATGTTCTCGGAATTTTCGCAGAAAAAAACATTCCGTTGGCAATTCAATTAAAAAATGCTCTGACAACATCCCCATGACTCGTGACCACAGTAAAAAGCATGACAAGAGCAACACATGAAATCATTGTTTTGACATAGGCAACTCATTCTCAGCTGACTAATGCTTGGATTCCGCTAGAGCTCGAGATGCCATTTCAGACTCCTTCCTTGTCAGTGCTTACACTTAAAAACCGGTACCCCCCAGAAGGGCCTGTCGCGCAGCGAAAAGGCAGAGACGCAGACTGATCAGCGGACGAGTCGCAGCGCGTAGAGTGGCAATTTCATAGGCAACGAATAGAATGAAGTATAGTACATTCTATTCAACCACACAGTACGCGCTGTGACGGTTTGGCTGACTCGTCTGCGTCTCTGCCCTTTGCGCCGCGCGACGACAACGTGTCGGTAAGCTAAAAGTCCCTCTTTCTTACTCGGGTTCTGAACTCTGAGAGGAAATGCTGCCGTAGAGGTTCACCCTTTGACTAGATCGTTGGAGTGAAGGCCCCATCTATCTAACGCATCTGCTGCAGTAGAATTCAGTAGTCAGAAAGCTCGAGACTGATGCTCACGGCCCCCTCGAGCAGTGAGTCCCGCCTGAAAGCTGATCACTCGATAGGGTCTGCTCTCGCTCGTATCCACGTTCTCCTTTCTTCGCTTCTTTTCCGTCTCCTCGACACCCTGTTCGACTCTCGCTGATTCCTCGGACCTCTCCTCAGCCTAGGGAGAAGGGGCTCCTATTTCTAGTGATTCAACGATTTTGTTCTTGACCGCTTTTCCACCTACCCCCTCTACTTCCATCTAAAACAAAATAACCGCCGTACCGACTCGATCGTGGGATATGCTCAGCGAGCCTCTGCGGTGGAATGAAGCTCTTACGAGTCCTCGACTAGCAGAGATTTTCAGCAACCTCACCTACGATTTTTTATAATATTCACCTGGCACCTGAAATTTACCTGGTACTTATAATGAACTGACTGCCCCAAAGACTGTATCTTTCGCTTTATGTGTTTTAAAACTGGTAAAGTGATAGAAAGACAGTAAACGGAGACGACTAGGTCGAGGCCATTGTCGCCTCGTGACATGCGGGAAACTTTCTATGAAATCAAAAATCGGATTATTGCCCGTGATGTTAATTTTGATCTCTCGAACCGCGTCGTAAACAGCGAGCACGGCATGTGACACGGGCAACCACGCGGTGACCGTGAAAAGGAGGCAGGGGCTTTTCGGGTGCAAACCCGGTGAATTCAACATGTCGAACAGAACACCTAGCAAAACTATATATCTCATGTCTTCATCATGCTGAGTCCTGATTGAGTCAAACGATAGCTTAGTACTTTGACAGCACCCACTCTGCTCAAGAGGCCGGATTGCCTAAGACGCGTCCGAGTTTGTGCCAACTGATTCCTGTGCCAAACGCGATTTAATCGTGCCAATAAACATTCTCAGTCTTCCTTGAAAGTAGACCTGCAGAGGACAGAAACTTCAGCTCCGGTGTGTTTGCTGATAGGCGCCAAATGAGAGATGGAATGAGTAGTGTCTAGGAGGATGGCTTTTGACGAGATCGATCACCACGGGCTCATTTTGGGCTTCAAAAAGATTTCTCAAAAAATCCTCTTGTACCTGCTTTCACCTACTAGGACCTGCAGGACTCGTGGATGGCTAGCTACGATAAGAAAGTTATGACAAAAACTAGACAAAATATTCAGCACAATTTTCCAGTCCTCTGTCGTTTCACCCCAACGGCTGCAAGTGAACTTCTGAGCAGTGCAACCCTGCATAGTAAATCTTTCCGTGCTAAAGACACTAGCGCTGATGGTCCACCTGCGCAACATATGCTCACGAAACAAGGTCTAGCACGAGTTGCTTCGGTTTAAATTAACCTCAAGAAGGCACTTTAGAATCTCACGAAGTTTATGTGGGAAAAGGGCCAGTGGCGAGGTGGCGAGCTAGAACTACACCCTGGTGTGGTCTATGAGTCGGGTTGGGTAAGGCTAATTAAGCCTTGCGAACCAATCGGAGCCAATCTTTGGCACTGAGCTCTAATGGCGGGGTTGAGATCTGTAAAAACTATCGGCAGGTTTCCAAAAACACCTGTATGAACAATTAGTCCTCAAGTCCTTTGAGTGGTACCCCTATTATGGAACCTATCGGCGTGTGGGCGGAAGTGGTGTAGTGACAAGTGGCGCTTACCACGCGAGCGGTCCGGGGATCAAATCCTGGGTCGTGAGTCGCCCGGGCCAACCAAGCCTTCCATCCCTCCGGGGTCGGTTAATTGGTACCAGACTTGTCTGGGAGGATAAAAACACTGACTTGTACATCGGCTGGCCCCGCAAGTCATTGTATAGGCCACATCGCATTCAAACGCCACTACGAATGTACAAATGGAAGTAGAATGCGTGCCGCATCCCAAAAAGGGATTGATCAACGGCAAATGCTTTATCCTTTATCCTTTTTTTTTTTTTTTATGTGGCGTGGTTCACGCGTAGAGAATACGCCTACGTCCAGCCGAATTTTCAGAACCGGCCTAAGTGCTCATAATTTCCAAATCTGACCAGAGACGTGGCCTACAGACAACCTTCGACCAAGGCATATCTCCGACCCGAGGTTGAAAAACCTGCAGAGGCGGAAGTTATTTTGTGAACCCAGGTAGCTCTGTGTATGTTTACGCCAGTGACCCTGGAAAAGCAACAGCCGTTCCGTCATTCATCTTACGTTTCTGAGGAAGCGCCAACAGCCGTCATGGAATGTTTATCACTTCAAAAAGTTACTGGAATTCCCTGGAAGTAAAAACGTATGGAAGACAAGCCAATGAGCCGTGCGAATGAGCCATAAATTTGGATCCTGTTCAAAAATGTCGAGGGTTTCAGTAGTCATTCGTGTTCAAGGCCGATCCTAATCCGAGTTCGACATTTAGGCACACTCAGCTTGGGATCGGTCAATCAGGAGAGTTCAAACCCTCAAAGAGGACCA